AGGTACAAAAAAACAGCACGAATTGAGCTTTTTGAAACTGAAAAAAAGATATAAAATGACTATTTTTAATTTCATGTTACTCCTTTTGATTTAAATTTGATAAATAAAAAAATTCTTGTGTTTGTGTCTCTTTGTTTAAATAGTGCTTTGGGGCGGAGTACTGTTGAAACTGCGAGTCCATTTTCCCAATTTGGAAATTTTGTAAATGGAAATTGTTAATTCCCAGTAACATTTCTTTTACATTTCAGTCAGTTTGGAAAGATGGTGTAGATTACGAGGCAACTTGCTATTTTATTTCAAAAGCAAAGACCCATTATCGGAACCACTCGGTGTGGTGGTTTTGGAACAATGTCAAGTACGAATCGACCCTCCTATGGCCTCACCACCCATGACAACCGATGGCCAATATCCATTTTATTTAGGTAAAAAATTAAACACCCTTGATAGTTTCCCAAACTTTATCAAACTTCAGTCTTTGATGGGGGTTTATGTCAAGCTTTGGCTTCTATCTCGGATACAGAACGCTCAAGCTGGATGGATGCCATAAAATCGTCGAGTTATGAGGGCATAAGAGCCGAGTTAAATGCCCTAAGACAGTGTTTGGAACGAAGACGGAACCATAAGCCAAGTGTTGATCTGCAGACGTGGAGGATGCAAAAAGCACACGTCATAGGTGGGTTTCAAGCTCAATTCAGAGTGGCCAAAATTAAAAAAAAAAATTTTTCTCCGTCTAAACCCCACATTTCTAACAATGATATTTACCTAAAATTTTGTTTGTTTTTTTTATTGCGTTTTTGGATTACTCAAGAGTTTTTATCAGACTAAATTTAATCGTTTTTGATATACAGGGTGCGCCAGAATTCGCGCCCCAGAGAAAAATGTCATGTTAGGTAAGATACCAGAAACATTGAAAAAATTCTATCTATAAAATTTCGAAGTTATAAGAGTTTTGCACTTTGACTCTATTTATTTCTGTTGAAAAAATAATTTTTTTGCTACAGGCTATTAGAAGAGGATACAAGGAAGCTGTATCCTAAATTGTAACTCTGTTCAATGTTATTTGTGGCTTTTATTAACAAATTTTTTGTACGTTTACTAAATAATTATAAATAAACATATACAAGATCATCAATATCATTAAATAGACATAAAAAATGTCAAAAAAATAAATGTCAAAATTTTTTGACAGTTAGAATTTTTTAAACATACTTTAAATTTTTCTCTGGGGCGCGAGTTGTGGCACACCCTGTATAACTAAATATCATCAAAGTAATGCTAAATCAATAAGTGGTGAATTAATAACGTCCCTCAAAATTTGTTAAATAGTTTCCTCAATTAAATGGAATTTCAGATAACAGAATTCCAAAATATTTATTTTTTAAGGCTAACGAATGTAGTTTTTTTTAATACCAGACATTAAAATGCAATTCTATTTAGCCAATTTCAACGTTCAAAAACGGTTGTAGATAAAAATCTCTTGAACATTCTCTTCAAGAAAATTTTATTCTCTACAACCCATTGACTGTATTTGTTGTAAATCTAACGTTTTTCGATCTCTTTAATTAAAGATTATTCGCAAATGTTAAACTTGACTTTAAATTTTATATAACTCTTTTAAGAATACTTTCAGATGAAATATCTGTATAATTTTTTCAGGGTTGTAGGCAATTGACTTACGTGAACTTATAGTAACTTCAACTAATTTTCAGTACTAAATTCAGTACTGAAATTAGTCTCGTGTCAAACAGCTCTTGAAAACTACACCTTTTTCAAGTGTAATTCAGAAAGCGTAAGATATATTTCAAAAAAATTTGTAATTTAGATTAGTCAATTGTATTTCAGTCAATTGTAATTCAGAACCGTAAACTGAATTTCAGAAACCATCAGATGTAATTCAGATTAATTAATTTAACTTCAGAAAGCGTAAATTGAAATTCAGATTAGTCAATTGTATTTCAGAAAGTGTTAGTTATAATTCAGAGTTTGTCATTTGTAATTGAGAATTCGTTATTTTCATTTAAAAATTACATTACCAAAATTCTTTTAAAAATAAAATATCTTATTTATTTTGCAAAATGGCAAGTTTATGTAATTCTTTAATTCTGAAAATAAAATAATTCGTGTTTATGTGTAAACTTCATTTTGAGATAACAGTAAGTTACTCGTCTGAATTACTATTGATATTTTCAGGATTACATGTAACATGAAATTGAATTTATTTACTGTTCTGAATTACATGTAATGGTTTCTAAATTACAATTATTACTTTATGAAATACAATTGACTAATCTGAATTAATAACAATTTATTTAACGGCGTACAGGGTGTTCCCTGTAAACTCCACATTAAAAGTATTGGGAGTTCGAATAATCATATTTGTTTGAAAATCGGTACATAGCCATAATCCATTAAGTCCTCCTAAATGAAAATATTTTCAAGATGGCGGTTATACCGGAAGTCGGTCTAAACTTTCTTATTTTAAATGGAAAGGTATATTTTTTACTGCGTTTTTGGATTAATCGGGTTATTTTAAGGGAATTTTTATCAGCTTTCCCTATACCTAAATTTAGCCGTTTTTGAAATATTTGTTTTTCAAAAAATTTTTGGATCTGCACCTCCCTCTTTAAAAATCGGTAACTCTGCTATTTTTTACAATTTTGAATTCGTTTTTTTAGCGTTTGAAAGAGAAAGTTTAGATCTTTCTTCCGGCGTTTTCAAATTTTGAAGAAAAAAAATTTACCAACTATAAAATTGTGTTGGTTTGTGAATTACACTTGAAAAAAAAAGTGTAGTAAAATTAGTTAAAAGTTTTTCAATTACTTTCAGATATCTCCGAGGTTCCTGTTTGCGAGATTTCGCTCGCTTGTGACAATTTATTATGTGATGGGCACGGTTGCCCCCCTAACCCCACCCTAATCGTCGACGTTTTCATGCATTCAGCAAAATTGTGGGTTCAATACGGACGCACTGAAATCATCGAGGTTTCACATCCTCTTCCAAATGATAACACTTTAGATTTATTTGAATTGTTTCAGAGGAGTAGTAATCCGGGTTTTTTAACAACAGTCAGTTTTCGAGCAAGCGATGGTTTGACTAGTGATTCTCGTATTCGATTTACAGTTTTTGATGTTAGAGAAAGAGTATCACATACTGCTATTCCACTCGGATCGGCTTGTGTTTTTCTAAGTGCGATACAAGATTCGTCACGGTTGCGAATTCCTTTAATTTCGAGAACTCAAACCACTGTTGGTTTTCTTTCAATTAGTGCTTGGTCATTAGAGGCCGAAGATAAAGGTAGTAGTACTGAGCATACGCCCTGTAGAGCACCGTTGCACAACAATACACAAGTAAGTTGTTAAATTAATTTAAATGATGCGTCTTGTGACCAGTGTTGCCAGAAAAAAACATAAAATTAAACTCTTGAAAAATACAAAAATGGTGTGATTTTAGGACTAATTTTGTGATTTTTCGGCTTGTTTTCAACAAAATTTTGCGTTTCTAGCTAAAAAACGTGCTAAAAACGCTCGAAAAATACAAAAATAATGTAATTTTAGACTTAATTTCCTGATTATTTAGTTTGTCGAAATCTATCAAAAAATCTGAGATTTTAGTACAAAAACGTGTCGGCCAAATTTTGCGGTTTCTCAACTTATTTTTTATTTTCAATTTCTTTTTAGTGATGTTTAGGCGTGTTTTTCAAAATAAATGAACTTCTGATTTAAAAAAATTCACCAGTTCCGAGTTGAAAAATTTGCCAAATTTTAATCAAATTGCCAAAATCTTACGAAAAAACAAATACGCTTAAACTCTTGAAAAATATAAAAATGGTGTGCTTTTAGGCCTAATTTTGTGATTTTTCGGCTTGTTTTCAACAAAATTTTGCGTTTCTAGATGAAAAACGTGCTAAAAACGCTCGAAAAATATAAAAATATTGTAATTTTAGACTTAATTTCTTAATTATTTAGTTTGTTTTAGCGAAATCTAGCGAAAAACCAGAGATTGTAGAACAAAATCGTGTCGGCCAAATTTTGCGGTTTCTTAACTTATTTTTTGTCTTAATTTTGCTCAAAAACAAAGAAAATAACATGAATTTCAATTTTTTAGTGATTTTTAGGCGTGTTTGGACAAGATTTTGCAAAATAAATGAACCTCTGATTAAAAAAAAATTCACCACATCCGAGTTGAAAAATTTGTCAAATTTTAATCAGATTGCCAAAATCTCGCGAAAAAAAGCAAAAATGGTGTGCTTTTAGGACTAATTTTGATTTTTCGGCTTGTTTTCAACAAAATTATGCGTTTCTAGATGAAAAACGTGCTAAAAACGCTCGAAAAATACAAGAATATTGTAATTTTAGAGTTAATTTCTTGATGATTTAGTTTGTTTTAGCGAAATCTAGCGAAAAAACTGAGATTTTAGTACAAAAACGTGTCGGCCAAATTTTGCGGTTTCTCAACTTATTTTTTGTTTTAATTTTGCTCAAAAACAAACAAAACAACATGAATTTCAATTTATTTTACTGATTTTTGCAAAAGAAATCATATATTATTTCGAACTTTTTGAGTTTTTATCTCTCAAAATGGCAAAAAACCCGTTTTTTGAGCTATTTCGTTGAATTTGTTTGACAAAATTTAGCAAAATAATTGTATTTCTACCATTCGAAAAAAATAAAAATACGTTGGTATTTTCGACTCTGTTTAGTAATATCTGGTAAAAAACAAATAGAACTATTTTTAACCAATTTGGTATTTTTTGATCATTTTTTCTTTGAGAAAATTTGACGAAATAGTCAAGTTAAAGAGTTGGGTAAAAATATCAAAATATATTTTTTTTAATAACAATTTAGTGATTTTTGACACACTACTGCAAACTATCGAGAAAAAAACAGAGTTTTCAGCTTAAAATCTGCTTGAACTTTGGAAAAATGAGAAATTATATCATTTTCAGTCTAATTCTGTGGTTTTTTTGGCTTGTTTTTAACAAAATTTTGCGAAATAATTGCGTTTTTAGCTGAAAAACGTGCTAAAATTCGAAAGAAATGCAATTTTCGACTTATTTGTTGATTTTTCAATTCGAAATCTCGCAAGAAACCTGAGTTTGTAGTATAAAAACGTGCTTAAAAACATTCTCGGCTTATTTTTGTCTTATTTGGCTCAAAAATCGAGTGAAGCAAACAAAATAACATCAATATCAATTGTTTTTGGACAAGATTCAACCCCTGATTCAAAAACGAAAGAACAAGCTAAAAAATTAAACAATTTCGATATAATTTTGTAATTTTTTAGCCTGTTTCAATGCAATATTTCTAACTTTTTGTGTTTTTATCTCTCAAAAACATCCTTAAACACTCAAAAAAAAACAAAAAAATGCCGTTTTTGGGATATTTCATTGAATTTGTGGATTTTTTGACAAAATTCTGCAAAAAAAGTTCCGTTTCTAGCTGAAAAGGCATTCGAAGAAACCAAAATAGAACTATTCTTAACCAATTTCGATTATTTTTTCTTCGAGATAATTTGACTAAATAATTAAGTTAAACTTTATTTTTTGTTATAACAATTTAGTAATTTTTGACACGCCATGGCAAACTCTCGCGAAAAAGCGAGAGTTTAAAAGTTTTTAGCTTAAAAATCTGCTTAAATCTTCAAAAAAGGAAAAAATTATGTCATTTTTGGCCTAATTCTGTGTGTTTTTGCCTTGTTTTTAACCAATTTTGCGAAATAGTTGAGTTTCTAGCTGAAAAATATGCTAAAACGCCAAAGAATAGCAAAATTGATGAAATTTTCGACTTAATTTGTTGATTTTTTAGTTCGTTTTAGCGAAATGTCGCAAAAAATCTGACATTGTAGCACTAAATCGTGCTTTAAAAAAATTCTCGGTTTATTTTGCTCAAAAACCAGTTAAATCTACTGAAACAAACAAAATAATATCAATTTCGATTTAATTTTGTAATTTTTTTGTCTGTTTCAACGAAATTTTTAGAATTTTCTTTGTTTTTATCTCAAAAACGTGCTTGAAAAGGGCAAAAGTAACGCCGTTTTTGGGATTGTCTTTAACGAAATTTTGCGTTTCTAGCTGAGAAAGTATTCGAAAAAGAGAAAAATTGTCAGTTTTCGATTATGTCAAAAATCTTGTAAAAGTTCAAACACAATGTGGTGGTTTTTTGACTTGAAAAAACTTGACGAAATATTCAATTTCCTGGTTGAAAACGTGGAAAATGCTCGAAAAACAATTTTTTACCAGATATCAGAATTTTTACAAAAATTCACCAAATCTGATTAATAAATTTCACCACCTGGCAACACTGTTTGTGACTTTGAAATTAAGTTGGCAAGATTGGAAAATTAACAAGTGTCATTTTTCAAAATCACAGTACACTTTGGTACTAAAATGTCACTAACATGTTTGAGTTGAATTCAATCTTGCCAACTTAATTTTCGATGAAGAAATTTACTAATTTCATTTCAGGTTTGGTCTCACCGCCGGTCCCAATCGCTTCCCCCTAAACTAGGTGTGAAAATGCGTCTCCCAAATCAATCTGAATTAAAACTGCTTTATTCGTCACCCTATATACAAACCTATAGGTTTCACTCGGGCCTTGGGGGTGACATTTGTGTACACGAATACATGGCTGAGAGTAGGATATGTTTTTCATTTCCTCATCAATTACTGTAAGTTGTAAAATAATTATTTATTATACAAGACGATCTTTATAGTTGTGTATAATACAACATTTTTCTATAGCAGGACTTAAAGTTTAAGAGGAAATAAAATTTCAAAAAAAAGACAATTTTTGTCATTCTCAATTATTTCTAGCAAGTTTAAACCTTGTTGAGTCTAATTCGAAGAATAAAATTTTATTCCACCTCATGGATGATAAAATTTGTAAATTTAAATGAATAAAATAAGTTAAAATATTATCTACCCTTGCGGTTGAAGTGCTCCTTAATCTACTCAAAAGAGTTGATAAAAAAATAGTTAAACATCTGCTATAGAAAAAAATTAAAATTTGTTTGTTATTTTGAAACTTGTTAGAGGTGTGTGGATCCAGCAAGAGAAAGAACTTCTCCAGGAAGTGGCAGCCATGGGTGAGCTAAGAGAGCCTTGGCATTCCCGTCAAGTCGAATTACTCGACAGACATTTGCATTTATTGCGTTTATATTCTCAAGCTCGTGAAAATTTACAAGCTCATAAAGGGAGTTTTTTTAAACCGAGTTCGAGAAAATCTGATCGTAGTTTGGAATTTGCACCGGTCAATTTACATTTACAACGAATGTGGGTACATAATGATACTCTTAATAAAGCCGGATTTTATGATTGGATTACTGTTGGTGCTTTTACGGCTCATTCACATAAATCGAAAAACGGAGGATTAATAAAGTAAGAGAGTGGTTTGTGGTGTAATTGTAATTATGATGGGGTTTTAGGTTGGTTCAACAGTTGAAAGAATCACCGACAAGGTCAACTTCGAATTATCAGATAATGGCCAAAATATCGATTTCCAATGATGCAATACAGGTAAATCAGTTTTCGATCAAAACTTTGAAATTAAGTTGGCAACACTGATTTGACACCTGACACAATCTAGAATCACTATTAACTCAGTGTTGCCAAATTAAAAACATCCAAAGTTATCGGTAACCATAGACAAGACAAAATGTCAAATGTCAAAATTTTTGACCGAATTTTTTTAACATTTTTTACGTAATTTTTTGACGCTGTGGCAAACTCTCGCGAAAAATTATATCATTTTCGGTCTAATTCTGTGTTTGTTTTGGCTTGTTTTTAACAAAATTTTGCGAAATAATTGCGTTTTTAGCTGAAAAACGTGCTAAAATTTTTAAGAAATGCAATTTTCGACTTATTTTGTTGATTTTTCAGTTCGAACTATCGCAAAAAAACCTAAGTTTGAAGTACAAAAACGTGCATAAAAACATTTTCGGCTTATTTTTGAATTATTTGGCTCAAAAATCGAGTGAAACAAACAAAATAACAT